CCTCCCTCCTCCCTCCACTTCCCTCCCCCTCCCTCCTCCTGCTCCTCACCTTCCTCCCCTTCTTCTCTCTCCTCCTCCTCCTCAACCTCCTCCTCCTCCTCCTCCTCATCATCCTCATCCTCATCATCATCCTCATCCTCCCCCTTCCTCCGCCAGGGCGCGGCAGAGCTATAAAGGCGCACCGACTGTGAGTATATACATATATATATATAGAGAGAGAGAGAGTGAGAGGGGGAGGGTGGCCGGACTAAAAGGCAGGGCTGGACCTCAACGCTGTGTTGCTGAATTTCGGCCGCGCTTTGTTGTTCGTCTTGGGAGGGAGGTGCAGGAAGACAGGTAGAGCAAAACGAACAACAAAGCGACAGCAAAACGAAAGCAGCACGAACAGCAGAGTTGAGGTCCAGCCATGCTAAAAGGACGGCGCCGCGCTCAGAGCGCGCGGCACTCCGCGCGAGGGTGCCGTGGCGGTCTCGGGCTCCATCAGGGGCCACGGCCAGCACAGGCCTTCCTTGTTGGAGCCTGACTCGGGGCGCGGACCCAGCTTCCTGGGGGCCCTGGAGCGCGCACTCTGAAGATGCTGTCGGCTTAGGTCCTGGGAGTGAGGCTCGGCCGAGACCCAGCTCAGTGTCGTTCGACCGACCACCATCCCCATCCCCATCCTCTTCGGGACCCCCAGCAGATTACACCCCCAGTCGGGGATGCACCCCTCGAAGTCTGGAGGGACGGCATGTGTCCCCATCTAGGGGGGTAAATCGGCCATTGGGGCCCAGGCCACGCCGCTAGGTATAGGGATCGATTAAGCGATACTCAGAGGAGGAGGAGGAGGAGGAGGAGGAGGAGGAGGAGGAGGAGGGGAAGGAGGAGCGAGGAGGAGGAGGAGCAGAAACAAGAGGACCGAGGAACCGAGGGACGAGGGACGAGGACGAGGAGGGAGGAGGGGAGGAGGAGGAGGAGGAGGGAGGATGAGGAGGGAGGAGGGAGAAGGGAGGAGGGAGGTTGGGCGGAGGGAGGAGGAGGGGAGGGAGGGGAAGGGCGTGAGGGAGGGGGGATGGGAGGGCTTGTATTTACATTTCGTTTTTTTTCTATAGGGCGGGAGGGAGGGAGGGATGGAAGGGAAGGAGGGAGTGTGGAGGAGGAGGAGGAGGAGGAGGGAGGAGGAGGGCAGAGGAGGAAGGAGGGAGGAGGGAGGAGGAGGGAGGAGGAGGAGGAGGAGGAGGAGGAGGAGGAGGAGGAGGAGGAGGGAGGAGGAGGACGGTCTGGATTGACCCGGGTCAGAAGATCCCCGAGTGCGGATCGGTAGATGAGGGCCCAGTCCCCTGGATCAAGACGGACGACTTTTTGCCATCCTCGGCCTCCGGGGGCCTTTTACCTCGAGGAGGAAAGAACGCCATGAACATAAACTCGGGAGGGAAAGAAACACACAGACACAATGAGTCCTCGATCCCCCAGAAGATATGGGAAAATATGCGAAGTGGGGGGAAGTAAAAAAAACCCAAAGATGGGAAAAGATCGGGAATTGTCTTATTTGTGTGTATTTGTTTGTGTGTCCCAGGGCCCCTTCATAAACGTTTGGCGCTCGGCGCGGATTTCTTGGATCCGCGCTGGGGCCCCCCAGGCGACGCCTCCGGCGCCGCCCCTGGCGCGCTCCGCGCGCCAGGGAGATCCAAGCGCGCAGAATTCACCGAGCGCGCTCAGTGACTCGCAGGGTGCCTACTCGCAAACGTCCGAACAAAACATATATTCGACGTACAGTGCCGTTTTTTATGCATGCTCCGCGTGCGGATCACGTATCAAACATGCAGGGATTCAGTATTAAAAAGCAACGAGGAGCTCATGCATAAATTTACTCATGCATTAATCATGTATTAAACATCCGGTGTTCTTAAAAATCCTAGGTTCAGAGCGTGAATTACCTGCCCCGCTTTCGCTTCCAGGCAAAACCGAGCCATACCACGCGCCTCCTCGTCAGGCGGCCTGACCAGTAGAGGCTGCCATTCGGCGTCGTTTAGCATCTCTTGAAAGCGAGGGTGGTCAAAAGCGAGGTAGGTTTGTTTTCCCCCTAATTATCAGGAGGGAAAAAAACACACAGACACAATTAATCCTCGATTCCCAGGAAAATATTGGAAAATATGGGAATTGGGGGGGAAGACAAAAACCCAGAAAATATGAGAAAATATGGGGACTATTTTTATTTGTGTGTATTTATTTGTGTGTCCTAATTTCCCTTTAAATTAAACGCTGCCCTGGAACTGATCGTGGAGCCGCGCTCGTACCGGCCCCGCGGGCGGGCGGGGGCGAGGCAGAGGCCCCGGTTCCGTGGGAGGAGCGGGTGCCCCAGCCAAGGGGGGGGGGGGTCCCCAAAATCCCTCCCCTCCACCCTCGCCCCCTCGTCCTCCTCCTCCGTCCCGCACCCTTCCCCAAATTTTCTCAGGAGGGAGAGAGACACGTTTTGATCCGCGGGGCGAGAGCGAACCTCTTCCGCTAAGTAAAAGCTAGGCGGGCTACGCACAGCTTTCATCAGGGAGACAGGGCACAGGAAGGCGGGGCCTCAGGCGGCCGGAGCGGGCGGGGCCCGGGGAGCAGGCGGTGCCGAAGTGGATGTGCAGGAAAGGAGGGAAAGAAACACACAGACACCATGAATCGTCGACTGCCGGGAAGATATGGGAACATGTGGGAGGTGGGGGGGAAGACAAAAAGCCAAGAAAATGTAGAAAAATGTAGGGGATTCTTGTTCCTTGTGTGTGTGTGTGTGTTTATTTGTGTGTTTGTGGGCCCCTTTCATTTTTTCTCGGCACGCTGGCGGCTCGTCAGAGCCCACCCCCCGTTGGCCCTGCGCCGCTCCCCCTCCTCCTTCCTGCTTGCCCTTCCTTTATCCCTTCCTTGCGAGACGCTTCCCCTGGCTCGCACCCCCAGAGCTGCGCCTTTCGCTGGATGCTCCCTTGCGCTCGAGTGTTCCCAGGCTAAGAGCTCCGACAGTGTCTCTCGCACTCGCGCCGGGCACACTCGTGCTGAGCGTTCGCAGCAACGCAACGATGGTAGCTGGCTCGTGTTCAAAAAATGCGGCGTTCGCCTTGGGGCCGCGCAAAGTCGTGTTCAACAGTTTGCAACAGCTTCAGGGAGTGAGACACTTTTTGTCCCACATTTGGGCTGTGTCGCCAATGAGCCGCGCGCATTCGTTTTAAAAGTTTGCATCTGTTTCGTGGATGAGTGCCAGCTGGTTTTCAAAATGCGGCTCTTGCCTTCGCTCCACGCACCGCGTTCCTACAAGTTCTTCAAAGCATGCAACACGGGACTGAGGATGGCTCCTTTCCGACGTGGGACTCGCTCTGGCGACGCGCACGTTTGTTTCAGAGCCTTGAGCCGCCACAGAGATGCAGGACGGCTCCTTTTCAGAACTGGACTGAAGTCGGGCCTGTCCCTCTACAGGGGGATTTTCGACGAAAAATTATAAATAACCCAAAAATACTCCCAGAAGGCAAAAAAACACTCAACAAATAGTCCCCAGACTATTTTTGGATTATTGTTTGATTATTTGTAGGGTATGTTTTATTTTTCGTCGAACATCCCCCTGTAGGGGGACAGGCCCGACTTAAGACTGGGCTCGCGTTCGACATCCTCTCACGCTGAAAGGCTACGCGATCGAGCGTATGCCACCGCTGCGCGGCCGGAGGGCGGCTCACTTTCACCACGGGGCTCCCGCGGGAGGTCCCCGCACGTGCCTGTTGTGCGGCAGGCTGCACGGAGGGAGGGCGGTCCATCCTCAAGATCGCGTGCTCGTTGGACACCTCGCTGCTCCTCCTCCTCCTCCTCCTCCTCCTCCTCCTCCTCCTCCTCCTCCCTCCCTCCCTCCCTCCCTCCCTCCCTCCCTCCCTCCTACTCCTCCTCATCCTCCTCCCTCCCACTCCTCCTCCTCCTCCTCCTCCTCATCCTCCTCCTCCTCCCCTCCTCCTCCTCCTCCTCCTCCTCCTCCCCGCCCCCATCCTCCTCCTCATCCTCCTTCTCCTCCTCCTCCCTCCTCCCTCCTCCTCCCTTCCTCCTCCCTCCTCCTCCTCTCCCCCTCCTCCCCTCCTCCTCCTCCTCCTCCTCCTCCTCCTCCTCCATCTTGGGTTTCCTCTGGCCCTCTGTGTCCGGGCGCGCCCCCCTCCCCGCTCGGCTGGGCGGGCGGAGCGAGCCTCGGGGCACGCTGGGCTCGGCCTCCTCTGCCCCGCCCGCCCCTCCTCCGCCTCCGCCCCTCCTCGCCCCCCGCTGCCGCGCGCCCGCCGCGCGCCCCGCCCCCTCGCCGCTCGCCTCGCCCGCGCCCCCCGCGGCGCGGGCCAGAGCGGCAGCAAGCTGGTCGTCGGCGGCGCCGAGCGGGTGCTGAAGGTGCGCCGGCCCTGGGGGGGCGCCGTGCTCTTGGCATCGCTCGGACGTGTGCACTGCTTCCTCGGCGGGGATGATCAAGGAGCATCCTGGATCCTCCTGCGAAAAAAGCCGCGCACGAGACCGACAAAAAGCACAGGGAGTGGACGCCCGAGCGATGGGAAAGTGCTTCAGGGGCAGCGGCTTTGGAAGCTTGAGGCCCGCGGGCGGTTTCGCGGGCCCTCGGCGGTGCTCCAGCCTCCGGCCGCCTTCCAGTGGGTGCGCCTCGCCGAGGGCGCGCCCTGGGGGTGCCCGGATCGCCCCGACCAGCCGCTGGAGTGCCGAGCTGTGGCCCAGACCCCAGGGGGCTACTCCAGATTTCGTAATAAAGGGAGGGGGGTCTCATTTCGGGGGGGGTCTCTTCCAGGCTATCTTGGAGGGCCTGGGGGGGTCTGGGGACGATGTTTTGGCGGGTTCTCCCACGGGGGGGTGTCTGAAATGGCTTGTCTTGGAGGGTCCAGACCCCCTCCCTTTTATTACGAGATCTGGAGTACCCGAGGGGGCATTGGGCTCAGGGGGGGGCCATGCGTCGGCCCCCTCAGCGCTCACACGATCGCCGACAGCCCACCCCGCCCGGGGGAGGCGCGGCTTCGCCATCGGGGGCCCGACGATTGGAAAAGAGCACATCTGGTGTTCAGCATCTTTTCCTCCCCCCGCCCCAACAGTTGGCAAGAATTGTTTCCACATGTTTAGGCTTTTTTTTAGGGGGACGCTTTGTAGAACCAGAACATCAAAACTCTGCCTGGAGAAAGATGTACATTTCTTTGCATGGTTTTGCTGAAATATATACAACCATCTGTTCCAGAGGCTGTCAAAAATGCACCAGGCTTAGGAAACCTCTGCATTTGGGAAAGTAAGCTTTGTCAACATCTACAGATATTCCAATCTGATCCTGCGGAGTTTGTCAAAATTGCATGCGGTCTAGGAAAATGGTAATTCAGGCTGTCAAACATGCACAAGGCTTAGGAACAATTGCATTGGGGAAAGTAAGCCTTGACAACATCTACAGATTGCAGGCAGTCTAGGAAAAATGGTAAACAGTTGTTTTGATATGTTTTGGCAGCTTCCGCTGATTACCTGTTTTTGGAAAGAAGTACATCTGGTGTTCAGTATCTCCTTTTCTCCCCCACAACAATTGGCAATACTTTTTCCACATGCTTAGGCAATTTCCCAAAAAGGGGATGCTTTGTAGAACCAGAACATCAAAACTCTTCCTGGAGAAAGATGTACATTTCTTTGCATGGTTTTGCTGAAATATATACAACCATCTGTTCCAGAGGCTGTCCAAAATGCACCAGACTTAGGAAAAATTGCATTTGGGAAAGTAAGCTTTGACAGCATCTACAGATATTCCAATCTGATCCTGAAGAGTCTGTCAACATTGCATGTGGTCTAGGAAAATGGTAATTCAGGCGGTCAAACATGCACAAGGCTTAGGAACAATTGCATTGGGGAAAGTAAGTTTTGACAGCATCTACAGATTGCAGGCAGTCTTGGAAAAATGGTAATTCCTGTTCCATTGCTGTTCTGCAGAGAAGACCGAGGAGAGGATTTTTTGGAAAGAACACGGTAAGTTTCTAGCCCAAGAGGCCCCCATGAGCGTCCCAGGACAGCCCAAGAGGATTCCAAGAGAGCCCCAAGACGGCCCCAGAGGAACCCCAAGCAATTGTGGCTCAAGCCATTTTGGCTCGAGGCTCGCAAGTGCCTCGCCGCCGGGGTATGCCAGTTGGATCCAGATAGGTTGGGATGACCAGTTATAAGGTGTACCAAAGTGACGAGGATAAGTCCGCGGATGCGGCGAAGAAGGTGCGCTCTGCAAAGGAGAAGGGCCAACTCGCCACGGACTTCGACTATGACAAGGGCTGCTACTTTGCTGGTGCTACTGCAAAGGATATATATGCCGTGCTTGTGTTCCTCTGTCTGCTTATCCCATACATGCTCATCCTGTACGTCTGCATCGCGATCTACCTCTTCGTCGCTCGTATCCCAACCTACTTCCTCATGCTTCTCGACCCGGTCTGCGGTTGGTTCCCGGACGAGGCGACGCCGCATGCGCCGAACACGGTCAGTTTCTACATTGTTACAGTCGTCCAGACGGTTGCGATCTTTCCAGTGTTGCTGGTCGCACTGATGCATATCCTCGTCGTGCAGGTCGTGGCCTGCGTGGCCTTCGGTCCAGTTGGCTTCTTCACAGGCGTTAACGTGTGCGAAAATTGGAGGCTCGTTCAAACGTGCACCCACTACATGGGTCATTCCGACTGCGGCTGCCCGCTCGGACTCAGCCGCGCCTTTGAATTCTGGCGCTACGTCTTTGGGCTTTACCATCGCCAGCATTGGTGTGAGTGGCTACTTGCGCCTGGCTTTATGATCGTCTTCAATCCAGCGTTGAAGTACATTTTCACTACCAACATCTGGCTCTGGACGCTGGGGGAGAAGTACTGCAATCAGTGGACAAAGCCATTCCCTGGCTCGGATCGCGAGGTCATCACCGAGAAAATCAAGACCATCGTCTCGGACTACAAGCTTCGGGGCTCGCTGGAAAGGAAGGTCGACGACGCTTGCTTCTGTGCCCATTATGCTAGACCGCTGCCCGGCTCACGGGCGCAGTGCATCGGCATGCAGTTCGCGCCAGAGAAGCTCGCTGTGAACCTGACGATGACGACGCACCAGTACCTCGTGGAAGGAGCCAAGCCACGCTCCTCGACGGCGACCGATGCCCTATGGGCCGTAGAGCTCCACTACTGGAACAGCTGGCACTTCTTGACCGGGTACGTCGAGGTCTCCCTGCAGGACGAGGCGGTCGATGAGAACGCGCTTGAGCACCCGATGTGGATTGTGGTGCCATCGACGGGGGTTTTCGGCCACAAGCTCTACGAAGGCGTGAACAAGCTCTTCGCGAAGTATTCGCCACAGCTGCATGACTCGATCCATGGCGAATTGTAGCTGCATGTACCAATTGTATGAACACGATCGGATGTTCTTCATGTGCGGCTTTCTATGGGCCATGCTCCTGGCTGTTCCCGTCTTGGCTGATACGTTTTATGTGGGAATTCTTGACGCTTCGCGTATCTCCATCAGCCCATCCAAAAACGATACCCAGGCGAATTGCGGTGATCAGGGAAGTGAGGGAGCATGCAGAGTAGCAAAGGGCTGGGGGACCCATCTTACCCAAGAGGGCGAGGATGGAGGAGGGGTCGGAGGAGGACGAGGAGGAGGAGGAGGAGGGGGAGAAGGGGCAACAGGTGGGAAAAGTGGGAGGAGGGAGGAGGGAGGAGGGGGAATAGGCGGATGATGAGGAGGAGGGGGAGGAGGGGGAGGATGAGGAGGGGGAGGAAGAGAAGATGAAAGGAGGAGGAGGAGGAGGAGGAGGAGGATGAGGCTGATAAAATGGAGGAGAAGGAGGAGGAGGAGGCCGACAAGGAGGAGGAGGAGGAGGAGGAGGAGGAGGAGGAGAAAGATGAGAAGGAACAAGAACAATGACGTGCACAAGAGCCTCCTAGGATGTCCCTTGGCAGTTGTTTTGGGGTCCTCTTGGAGCGCCTGGGGGATTCTTGGATGCCTCGGGGATCCTCTTGAGGCATCTTGGGGGTCTAGGGAGCCTCTTCAGGGCCTCGTGAGGACCTCTTGGGGCCTCCTGGGCGCCTCTTGAGGCCCACTTGGGAGCCTTGGGGGCGCTCTTGGGGCCATCTTGGAGGTGATCGATCAAAGGAAGGGGATCCCTCAATTAGCCTCCCCCCTCGGGACCCTCCCAAATCGGCCAAAACCTTAGTAAAACCGATGATTTTGGCTTCCTCGCCGAGGCCGTTTTGGACGCTCCAACTACCAGCGGCACCCCCCGTCCAGGTCCAGGGGAGGGGGTTACGGGAAGGGGTAAACCCCTCCCCGAAGGGGAAGAAGGAGGGGTGGAAGAGGAAATTCCCGGAACCACCTACGCCCAGACGGCTGGTGGGATTCGCATTGCTCGGCCGGTGGATTTCTCTGGCGGGCTTTTAGGTTGCGTGGTTATGCACGGAGCTCGGGCTCAATATTGCCGTAGATGCCAAGATATATTTATCTGCGTGTGTATGTCTAGGGGGGCAGGATTTGTCCGCCATGGCCGGCGCGTGCTGCAGGCAACGTGGTGAACGTGGGGGAGGAAAAAATGTATGAACGCGATCAACGACGAAACCCTGAGTTAAGCAGCGCTCCTCCCCTTAGTTAAGCAGTCTCTGGTTTGGCATGCTCATGTACCTTGGCACCGGTAAACTAGGTCACCCCCGGGGGCGCAAAGATAACCGCGCATCGCGCATCTCGGAACCGCCCATTGTGGCACACAGTTTGCGTATGTGGCATCGCAAAAAACAGAAAAGACGGCCCAAGAGGAACCCAAGACGGTCCAAGAGGGCTCCAAGACGGCCCCAAGAGGGGCCCAAGCATAGAACCACGAACGGAAAATTCGAGCCTTCCGCCCCAACAGAGCCCCAGGAAGCCCCAAGCGGCCCCAAAGAGGCTCCAGTATGCCCCCAAGAGGACCCCAAGAGGCCCCAGGAGGCCACTAAGAGGACCAGGAGAGGCCCCAAGACGGCCCCAAGAGGCGTCAAAACTGCCCCCCAGGTGCCCCCGAGAGGCATCCCACGAGATCCTAACACACACACACACACACAAGAACCCTCAGACCGACAACCCAGGCACAGTGGCGGGATAGTCCGAGGTTCAGAGGACGACGATGGTTCAGCGGACGACGACAACGAAACAGACCATGGCGACGACGACGACGTCGACGATGAGCAACCGACGGCACTGCCACTAGACGACGGCGACGACGACGACGACAACGACGACGACGACGCCGACGACGACGACGCGACGGCCTTCAGGCTCCGAAACTGTGCCCGAGAAGCCCTCGCGCTGCCTCGGCCGCTCTTGAAAAAAAAGGAATCTCCTGATTTCCCTCTTTATTTCAAGTGCCTCCGCGGATTCCCACGGTCCGAGCCGCCGACAGATCGGTCCAAGACCCCCAAGACGGCTTCCAGACGACGATGGTTCAGGGGACGACGACGACGACGAAACAGACCATGGCGACGACGACGATGACGACGACGTCGACGTTGAGCAACCGACGGCACTGCCACACGACGACGACGACGACGCCGACGACGACGACGACGCGACGGCCTTCAGGCTACGAAGCTGTGCCCGAGAAGCCTTCACGCTGCCTCGGCCGCACTTGAAAAAAATGGAATCTCGGGAGTTCCCTTTTTATTTCAGGTGGCTCCGCGGATTCCCAGGGTCCGAGCCGCCGACAGATCGGTCCAAGACGCGCAAGACGGCCTCCAGACGACGTTGGTTCAGCGGACGACGACGACAACAGACCATGGCGACGACGACGACAACGACGTCGACGATGAGCAACCGACGGCACTGCCACACGACGGCGACGACGACAACGACGACGACGCCGGCGCCGGCTACGACGACGCCACGGCCTTCAGGCTCCGAAGCTGTGCCCGAGAAGCCTTCAGAGCCCCCCCCCGGCCCAGGGGGGGCGACACCGCAACCATCCGGGAAGATTTTGTAATACCCTCCAGTTCGCTTCCCAGAGGCGGCCCGGAGAGCCCAGGGGGGGGCGAAAACAGGCCAAGAGGGCCCCAAAACGCCCCCAAGACGGGCCAAGAGGGGTCCGTGCCGCCGACAGCTCGGTCCGAGATGCTCAAGGCGGCCTCTAGACGGTTCCAGAGGCCCCCAAGACGGGGTCAAAAATATAGATTTTCCTCACGTTTCCGACGGTTTTTCGTGATTTCGCGTGTTCGGCTTCCCGACGCTCCAAGACGGCCCTAGAGCTCCTCAGGATCGCCCCAAGCCGGCCCCAAGCCGCCCCAACGCCTCCTGGGGCCGACCTTGTTTTTTTTTTCATCCCGGACGAATCTCTGGGAGTCCCGGAGCCTGAAAGGGGGCCAGAATCGTCCGACCCAGCCAGAGAGACGCTCTCCCACTCGGCCCTTGCCATGCCTTGGCCATTCCTGATGGGGGTGCGCAAGAGGCGCGCTCGGTGCTCCCTGGCACGTCGTTCGACCTAGGGAGACGCTCTCCCATTTTGCCCCCGCCGCATTTTCTCCACCCCTAAGGGGGTGCGCAGGGGGTGCGGTCGGAGCGCCCTGGCTCCTCGTCGGGCCCAGCCCCCCCCCCTCCCTCCCACACCACGCACACACACACACACATACACACACATACACATACACATACACATACACACACATACACATACACATACACACACGCATACACACACACACGCACGCACACGCACACACGCACACACGCACACACGCACACACGCACACACGCACACACGCACACACGCACACACGCACACACGCACACGCACACGCACACACACACACACACGCACACACACACGCACACATACACGCACACACACACACACACACACACGCACACACACACACACACACACACACACACACGCATTCGGCCCTGCCGCGCTGCCTCCATTCCTGAGAGGGTGCGCAGGGGGGCAGACTCGGAGCTCCCCGACTCGTCGGCCGACCCGGGCTGTGCTAGAGCCTAAGCGCGCGCGAAGCGCGCGCGTGGTTCTAGTTAAAACATATTCCGAGTGTCAACATGTTATATTTGACTGTCTTTGCCGCGGCTATGGTTGCTTCTGCAAGAGCTGCCTCTTGCCCGAGTGATCTTCAGAAAGATTGCAGAAACAGTTTGCCGAATCCGGTATGCCCCGCGGCGTCGTCAGACGTCTGCTGCAATGCGGGCCAAGATTCTCTGGCAGAGAGTACACGAGGTCGGGGATGTTGTGAAAAGAACAAGACCTGCGGGAACCCCGACGGTTCGCGGACATGCTGCGTTCCACTACAGCAGCACTGCGAGGACGGGCAGTGCACTTGGTGCACATGCGACGTTACGCTCGGTGTCTGCATGAAAACGACGGACGCGACAGTCCAAAATGGCCAAAGATGTTCCGAATGCGCGTGCGATGACGGAGTGTCGCAATTGCGCTCATTTCCGCCTGCCCCCCTCCTCGGGGGAGCGAAGTTCGGACGTTGTCCGAAGCAAGAGCTTTTGCAGAGTGCCCTCGGTCGGGGGCAGCTCGGTGTTCCAAGCCGTGCCCCGCGCAGAATACTGGAACAAGCCCCCGTTTGGACGTGCGGAGTCCGGCAAACGTGTAGGCTGACAATCAATGAGAGCTTCTTCCCGCCGCTTCAGGATTAAATTGGCAGGCGATCCGTGTCACATCGGCAGCCGAACCTCGGTCTCAAGACGGTTCATGTTGTTGTGGCTTAGGAAGATCACTGTGAATTTCATTACGATAATACACACCTTTTCAGAACAGACCCCGTGTAACATCTACCCTCCACCACCGCGTGCGTTGCGAAGCTCGGATTACGCGGTCGGCATACTTCGCGCCCCCAGAGTTGCGTGGGACGGAGCGACAACTGATGAAAGTGACGTCTCAGGGCTCACAATCAGACTTGAGATCGAGCAGTTCGGATCCACGTGGATAGATGAAGCGACGTCCCCGTCGGCGACAAGAAATGCAAACAGGGTTGGAAGAGTTCGTTTTAATCAGAGGGACGGCCAATTGTGTACCATCAACGTTCGGTATTCGTGGAATGTTGCTCAGCAACGACAGAGCGTTCTCGACGGTGTGCTGCCGGGTGGTGACATTCAGCGGTTTATCAGTCCATTTCATACGGTTCTGACGTGCAACCCCCCCGCTAGGCTTGACCCCGCGACTGTTCGAAACATCCCGTTCTGGAGGAGGGTGATGATGGCGCCGCCCTCTTTCATCAGATGCAGAGTGCCAGCGCGATTCGCGAGGAGGTCGCCAACGATAGCAGCCAAATATTTACCCCGACGGCTGTCGAAGTGGAGGCCCCTCGGAGTCTCGCGGGCACAAGCCTGGACTTCCGGCGCTCTCTCCCAGGGCTCGTGACCAATCTGGAGGCACAAACGCGCCACTTCTTCAACGAGGCGCCTCTTCAGTTCGGATTTCTTCAGACGAGCCCGAGTGCAGCGTACGCCCTGGATCTGGGGAGTTGTGCGGCCCAGTGCCTCAATGAGTCGAGCTGCAGAGCTTTCGCGCTCAC